CCCCTTCCCCAAAGCAGTTGGAATTCTCCTCCCACTCGTTAGCATATGAAATTACCCAGCCCTTAAAAACTAAACACCCTCAATGCCTCATAGACTCTCTGGTCTTCTGAGATGGCCTGCATTCACTCTGTCTGTGGAGTATGCATCTCTCTGAATAAATCTATCTTCACCCTTCTATGGCTTGAATTCTTTCCTGAGTGAAGCCAAGGACCCTCACTCGAAGGGCGCATCCCAGGGATTCAACTGAGACTTGGAACATAACCATTCATCCTCTCGCCCCATTTTCCTGTCTCACCTCTTCTGACTCTCTGACCCCAAAATGCCTTCCTTTCTGCCTCTCTTTTTCCATCTGAGAAATTAAAACCATTGTTTTTCTTTAGGAAGAACCGGCTTTTATTTGCAAAGACAGCAGCCCCTCACCCTGAATGTCTCTAGTTGGAGAAAAGTCAAGAACAATGATAAAGGATGAAGAAGAATTCCAAGGCTGTCTCATCCAACCCAGCCAGGGAGAGACTCATCAGCACGGCTTTGAATCACACCGCTCTTGCTCCTCTGGCCTGGACATCCTTACTAAAGACATTTGCCAAGAATTATGTTCAAGATTTACACAGTTCATCCACTTGCTCCACACCCTGGCTTCTTCACCCTGAGAACTGAAATTGGAGCCATCTTGTATAATGGGGCCATAGGCATTTTCTTCCTCTTGGGAAGAACAAAATAGACTCCTTTTAAGAGCGACCCTGTCCTCATAATTTCCACCAGATTCCCAAAAGTGTCTTAACTCAAAGTAAGGTCAAAAACTTGTACTAACAGAAAACTCTTACTCCACCTCGGAGAGATGGGCATCAATCTCATCCTAAAACCCCTCCAGAGACTTTCCCAAGTTAACCTTTTACTGCCTTTGTTCTCCTGATCTTTTTTTTCAATCTGTAAATACTCTCAACTTCCATGAAAGTTTTTAGAGGTACGTTTTCCACTAATGTGTATCAAAGTTGTATTCAAAATATTTCTAGCTTGTTACAATGCAGTGCCCCCCATATTCGTCACTGGCAAGTAGGCAGGTGGCCTAATACTGTGAAACTTCTGGTGACAAGTTGTAAGGAGACCAATTCTTAATCCCTCATAGAAGCATTTCCAAGTCTGCAAATGGAGCCCTTGCAGAAAGAAGTATGAATGTAAGACTACACAGGAAGGAAACAGAGAATCAAAAAAATTAGGCTTGGCAAGAAACTCAAAGATGATTTTTCTCTGCCATCCACTGCTGGAATTCTCACTATAGTTTCTCCAACAAATCACCATTTAACTATTATTTAAAGACCCCTCTCACGACAAGGAATTCAGTGTCACACAAGGTATTTATGCTACTGCTCTAATTCCTTAATTCTTAGCAGATGCATCCTTAATGTTAGGCAAAATCTAACTTCCAGCAAGATTGCTTGAGAAATCTGGGCAGCTGGTGTATCTAAATCATCTTCCAAAAACTGTAAGGTGGTTTTTGAGTCTCTTTTTCCTTATTGTGTTAAGACAGCACTGTATCCTGCATCCCGCGTGTCTTTGTTGGTCTCCGCAGTTCCTGATAATGTGCAGCAAGACTAGTCATCACTCAGGCATCAAGGAAAGGAGGAATGAATGAGCGCACATCTTAGCCATGTTTCTGTGGTAGAAAGAGATGTCAGGAAAAGCCCAGGATCCTAAATCACTGAGCCATCCAGCACCACTGAGCTGGATGAGCCAGGAGGGAAGGGGGCAGGGCATAGCCATTAAAGGAACAACACAGCCATTAGCACCAAGATGGCGGATGATTCAACTCCCAGTGGACCGTGAGCTTCAATATACGCTCACTAGAATTCAATAGCTGCTACATGACCCTCCCACAGGTGCCAGGACAGTTTCAAGACTGCCCATAAAAAGGTCAAAAAGTGGGCGGTGGCCCAGTCCCTGGGAATCCCAGCCCCTTTCCCAAAGTATTTGGAACAGTCCTCCCACTTGTTAGCATATGAAGTTGCCGAGTTCATAAAAACTGACAATGCCCCGCACCCCATGGCCTTTCTCATTTCTGACTCAGATGGCCTGCATTCTGTCTACAGAGTGTGTATCTCTCTGAATAAGTCTACTTTAACTCAACTGTCACTCACTCTTGAATTATTTCCTGCGCAAAACCAAGGACCCTCATGTGGGAGGGCACATCCCACGGACTTGATTGAGACCTGGGACGTGACCATCCTCTCGCCCCACATTTTTCCTCTACCACTCCTACAACAAGTGTTCCCTAGAACAACTGGGGTGGGGCGAGGTGGGCGGGAACAGTCAGTCTCTGAGCTGACTGAGGGGAGTGGGGGGCACTTTGTTACTACCAGTGTCTTGGACCCCCATTTCTTGTGTCTTAGACGGAGTTGAAAGGCTGGTACTTTTACACTACCCCTGAGAGCTAAGCTTAAACAAATTTGCAAGCCACACATATCTCCTTGCTTCTTGCACCTAGTCAGGATTCAAAACATGTAAATGCCTATGGGGTCAGGTAGAGCTTTCAGTGAAGTGAGACTTTAAAGTATAAGAAAATAGAGGATAAGGCAAAATTCAAGAAGGCCTTCCCAAAATAAGGAAAGGAAAGTTATTTAACTGGAGAATGTCATTCCAAGTGAAGTAAGCCAGAAAGAGAAAGAAAAATACCACATGCTATCACTTATATGTGGAATCTAAAATAAGAACAACAAAAGACAAACATATTTACAAACAGAAACAGACTCACAGACATAGAAAACAAACTTACGGTTACCAGTGCAGAAGCAGGTGGGAAGGGATAAGTTGGGAGTTGGAGATTTGCAGATACTAACTACTATATACAAAATAGACAAACAGCAATTTATACTGTACAGCACAGGGAACTGTATTCAATATCTTGCAGTAACTTATGGTGAAAAAGAATATGAAAGCGAATATATGTATGTTCCTATATGACTGAAGCATTGTGCTGCATGCCAGAAATTGACACAGCATTGTAAACTGACTGTACTTCAATAAAAATATATAAAAACTATGCAACCTTTTGAAAAATAAATAACACTCTTAGTTTATCTCTTGTGGTTAAACATACCTACTAGACTTAGGAAGGGGGGATTGAATTCCCAAACTTCTCTTTAACTGGCTGTGGGATTGTAAACAAGATATTTAATGCCTGTATGTCTTGGTTTCTGCAACTGTAAGATACTGATTATATTAACACCACTAATGACATAGCTCTGTATATTAATTAGAATGGTGTCCAGGGTAGAGTTTAAAATACATATGTTATAATATAACAGAGTATATGAAGTAATATACATGTAATCTGATATATGTTTGTGATGCACTGTCGGTATCCATGAACACGACCCTACAGGTGCAAATATGTCTGCAGAACCACACCCCAAAGATGCTTTGGGGGAAATCTGCCTCTCAGTGCTCTGTAACCATCTTAACACAGTCCAAGCACGTGAGAGCAGGATGATCTCCTTCAGAGGAAAGATCGCTGGGCTGATTACCAAGAGACCTGGCATCCGCTCCCAGCTGTGTCATGAATTAGCTGGCTGGCTTACGTGAATCAGTGAATCCATGCCTCAGTGTCCTCAGCCAGTCTTACTGACCTTTCAGAGACGTTACAGGAGCCAGGTTTAAGAACTGACATGTTGATATACTGGTTCTAATCAGACAAAGGTCTGCTAATAAATAAGAGATCTAACTAATAACCCATAATGTTTTCCTTTTCTCTTATAGTCTTTCAAGACCAGACAGTCTTGGAATGACCATTCATAATCCTGGTCTCTCTAGATCCTTTTTTTCCCTTCCCTTCCATGTTGCTTTTATTTTTTATTTTATTTAATTTTTTTGTTGGATGTATAGTCGATTTACAATGTTGTGTTAATTTCTGGTGTACAACACAGAGATTTAGTTATACTATACACATATGTATATATAGATAGATATATATAAACATATATATGTTTCTTTTCATATTCTTTTTCATTATAGACTATTCCAAGGTACTGAATATAGTTCTCTGTGCTGTACAGTAAGACCTTGTTGCTTATTCATTTTACATATAGTAGTTAGTATACAAATCCTGAACTCCCAATTTATCCCTTCCCGCTCCCTTCCCCTCCTGAACCATAAGTTTGTTTTCTGTGTCTGAGAGTCTGTTTCTGTTTTGTAAACTTCTTGTTGCTTTTAGAGGTAAGGAGTCCTGTGACATGGAGTTAGCCATTATTATTATTGTAAATCAGGGCCGATGCAACCCACAGGTCCACCAGTTTGGATCCTTGCTTGGGGCCCACACATCATTCTCAATTTTCCGTGTCATAAATAGTTGAAAAGCAAGACGGCACAAAGAAGAATAAACCCAAGAAAAAGCAGAGCAGGAGAAATTTCTAGAGTCTCCAACAGCCATCAAAACCTATGCCCTTCAACATCCCTTCTATGAATTGGGTTCTGTCCCTTGATTATTCTCACCTTTACATATTTCATTTTGTCCACCTTCTTTCCAAAATCTGATTCTCACAACTGAGCCCCATGTTCCACTAGGTTATGACTCACAGAGACTACTTCTCTCTAAGACCTCAGCCATCCCCTTCCATTAATACAGCCTGCACAGATTCTAGGTGTTTTGACAACCCTCCGGAAAGGATATATGTGACGAGTGTCCTTCTGCAACTCAGCTACACCTACGATCTTCTCCTTCCCCTTAATGGATCCCAGCACAGAATAAATAGTAAAGAATTACTGCTACACCACTGAGGCAAATTAAAGTCAATGCATTCGAGAGTTCAGGAATGCATCAACACGGGTCCTGAATACCAACTGCAACTCATAAAGGCAAAGTACAGTCAAAGGCTTGGCTGGAGATCTGGAAATAAGCTGCCCAGACGGGGCCACACTGAGGTTGAAATTACGCAGAATTTGAAGGGCATCTCCCGTCTCTCCAGCCCAGAATGACACTCATCAGGCTTCGTGCCCTCAGGACTCACCATTCTTACAGAGCAGGACAGCCAGGAAGTCCTGAGAAGACAAATTGATGAAGAGCAAGAGGCTGGGGGCCCGGGCTGTCACAAAGCTAAATGCGATATTTTCTCTGGATGGAGCTGCGTCCGCGTAAATTGCTGAGGATGAGAGGCTTACGTTCTTGGTCACCGGGTAGGGTTCTTGAAACCTGTAAGTCACTGAAGTGCCAGCCTCAAAAACAGCAGAAACCTCTGCAAAATAGAAGAGAGGAAAAGACGTATGAAAACATTTAGTCGAGTCTTCAGAACAGCAATGCTAGCATGTTGATGGTGTCCTATGAACCAGTCACCGTGTGAGGTTTTTTGCAAGAGTTCTAGAATATGCTTCCCACATCACTTTGAAGTGGCAGAAATCATCACTTCTATTTACAAATGAGAAAAATGAGGCTTGCCAAGGTCGAGCACCTTGAACAAGGTTGCACAGCTAAAAGAGAGAGAGCTCAGATTTGCACTGTGAAATGTCAGTCCAGCTTAACATAGATTTGCAGAAAAACCATCATGTGCCAGGCTGGTTTCTCAAGAAGCAAAGATGAAATGTTCCAGCCTCCAGTAGAGTAGAGAGAAATTTCACCACGATTATCTTACTTTCAGAACAGAAATCCTAACCATTCTGGCTGATGTTTTTCTTGTGTGTCTGGAAGATGTTAAGTGGGCTCTTAGCTACTGGGAGTAAGACACTGGGACAGAAGGCAGTCATTCTCTGTGGTGTCGGATAAAGTGCAGGGACCCATGGAAACAGGAGAGGAAGTCTGGGGAAACAGTATGAATTTGGCTTTAACCTCTTGTTCAGTCTTTTTTATTTTAATACATTTTAATTGAAGTATAGTCAGTTTACCATGTTGTGTCAATTTCTGGTGTACAGCACAACACTTCAGTCACATACATATATTCATTTTCACCATAAGTTACTACAGGATACTGAATATGATTCCCTGTGCTCTACAGTATAAACGTGTTGTTTATGATCATTCTTATCTTCACATTTTGTCCATCTTCTTTCCAAAATCTGATTTTCAGAACCATGCCCGATGTTCCACCAAATTACAACTCACAGAGACTACTTCACTCTAAGACCTTGACCATCACCTTCCATAAATACAGCCTGCACAGATGCCAGGGATTTCAGCAGCCCTCCAGAAAAGATCCTGCAGGCAGGTGCCCACCAGCTCCTAGGAATTGGTGTTGAGTTCCAAAATAAAGAGCAAAGACTTGGGTAAGCAGGTTTTCCCCTGGGAAACAACTTCTATAGCCCAACATGTTGGGTAGAACTCTGCCGCCATTGTGGAGAGAGGAAGCTTCCAGAGGCTGATGACATTCAATTAGCAGGAACAGGCAAGTCACCCCATCCTCCCTGTCTGATGTCCTCACTCCAAATGCTACCATTTTAGTTGCGTGGGACCAGCAAGGATTTGGCTTCAACACTGATCTTCAGACTCACTCGATTTCATGCTAGCTGTGTGGTCCCAGGCAAGGTAATCAACTCTATGGACTGTTTTCTTGTCTGGCCAACGGGAGGCATCGCAATTCCCTCAACAGGATGTCTGTGTGGATAAATTAGATGGATGTGTCAAAGAGCTTAAGAGAGTTCCCCAACACTGATTAAACCCATAGCCTCTCCATATTCAAAGAGAATTTAACCTAAACCCATCCCAGTTTCCTCCATGTAATACATCTGTTTAATGATTGTGCATGTATTCAAGGGCTGATATATTTTTTTCTTTCAATCAAGGCTGTTCTTAAGTTCACTCCCGATTTTATCTCTACACAGTACCAGGGTCGGGGGCAAAGTTTCCTTGGTATAACACAGCTGAGACATGGCAGTAAACCTCTGTCATAAAAAGAGTACAATAAATATGAATCTATATGGGCATTAATTTATCCTTCTCCTGAATGGTCTGTAGAATATCCCCAATTCCCCATGAAATTCTCTGATTAAGTTGGTGGCACCTAGAACATAATCCAGACTGGTGTTTGCTCTCTAATTCTATTGCAGATTTGTTCTACCTTGGTGAAAACTCTGCAACAGCCTGTAACGGTGCCAAAGAAATTAAAGTTGCATATTTTTGCAGATGGCTTAGCAGATTGGGAATACTGGCTCATTTTTACTGAAGGTTCACAGAAACTGTTAAGCATTTCTCATGCAGGTTACAGCCTCGGTACTCCTGATTGCAAAGATCTGCAGCAGAAACTTGTGACAGGATCCCAGTTAATCATCAGTTTGATTCAAGCACTTTTCTTAACGTGAATTACCTCGGGGACATTTGGCCTGCATTTTGTGCTCTTATCTCCTGGTTAACAGAATAATGGCTTTTATTTGATTTTGGTGTATGTGTTCAAATGTAAGGATAATTCAGAGCATTTTGTAATGAATAGCATATTAAATACAGGCATTAGTATTACATTTTTTCTTTATACTTAGGATGGGAAATTAAAATGAAAAGCATATTCTAAACCACAAATGTCCTACTAAGTTTCTGTGTCCCCTCCTCCCCTAGCCCCAGTTTGAAGTATTTTTTATCGTTTAGATATTGTGAATTTCAACTTTAAACTAAATTCAGCCAAAAACCTGGATTTGATTATTCTTTGTTTCTTTTCTTTTATAATCTAAGAGTTTAGGCTCTCTGATCCTGTTTATGTTCTGTGATTGATTTATCTGAACATCCAAAATCGCTGGGGTAAATAGAAGAAAAATCTTCACTTGAAAGTGATTATCAATGACCTTCAGGCCATGCCAAGGCCACGATAACCAACATTAGCAACATCTCTCACAAGATCCCATTCCACCTCGGGTTATTCAAGTGCACACAGGGATGCATTCAGTCTTGCCGTGGGTGTAAGGATTGGAAGGATGTTTATAAAGGAACAGCACACAGTAGGGATGTGATCAACAGCAGCTGGTCTTTATAACAGTAAATGAATTAGATTTAGAATTAGAATAAGTATAAAGATCAGGCCTGGGTAATGAATGGGCTACCAGTTACACAGTCAGGCTGTATTTGATTTAGAAAAAACTTCATACAAACTGAAAATAAATGAAACACTTGGAAACCCGAATGATGAAGGGATATTTCATAATATTAAAAAAACTATTCTTAAAACTTTCTTATAATAGTCCTGTGGGTATATGTTTTTATGGGTCCTCATTTTTTAACAAAACCTAGTGCAATATTTATAGATGAAGTGATGCGGTATCTGGAATTTGCTTCAACATAAAAAAGAAGAGAAATGGATGTTAGCATACAGACAAAATAAAACTGATCATGAGCTAATAACTGTGGAAGATATCTGCAGACTCATGGTCAATTAATCTTTGACAAAGGAAGCAAGAACATACAATGGAGAAGACAGTCTCTTCAGCAAGTGATGTTGGGAAAACTGGACAGCAGCATGTAAATCAATGAAGTTAAAAGACTCCCTCACTCCATATACACAAATAAACTCAGAATGGCTTAAAGACTTAAATATAAGACATGATAAATCTCCTAGAAGAAAAGATAAGCAAAACATTCTCTGACATAAATTTTAGCAATGTTCTCCTAGGACAGTCTACCCAAGGCAATGGAAATCAGAGCAAAAATAAACAAATGGGACCTAATTAAACTCAAAGCTTTTGCACAGCAAAGGAAACCATAAGCAAAAAAAAAAAAAAACACAAAAAAACAAACAAAGAAAACAACCACCACCACCTAAGGAATGGGAGAAAATATTTCCAAATGGTGTGACTGACAGAGGCTTAATTTCCAGAACATATAAACAGCTCATACAACTTAGTAACAAAAAGACAAACAACACAATCCAGAAATGGGCAGAGGACCTAAACAAGCAGTTCTCCAAGGAAGAAATACAAATGGCCAATAGGCATAAGAAAAAATGCTCAATATCACTAATTGTTAGAGAAATGCAAATCAAAACTACAATGAGGTACCACCTCACAGCAGTCAGAATGGCCATCATTCAAAAGTCCATGAATGATAAACGCTGGAGAGGCTGTGGAGAAAAGGGAACCCTCCTATACTGCTGGTGGGAATGTAGTTTGGTACAGTGATTATGGAAAAGAGTATGGAGATTTCTCAAAAAACTAAAGATAGACTTACCATATGATCCCGCAATTCCACTTCTGTGTATATACCCAGAGGGAACTCTAATGTAAAGAGACACATGCACCCCAATGTTCATAGCAGCACTATATACAATAGCCAAGACATGGAAACAACCTAAACGTCCATTGATAGATGACTGGATAAAGAAGTTGTGGTATATTTATACAGTGGACTACTACTCAGCCATAAAAATAAAATAATGCCATTTGCAGCAACATAAATGGACTTAGAGAACATTATTCTAAGTAAGCCAGAAAGAGAAAGAAAAATGTCATATGATAGCACCCAAATGTGGAAACTAAAAAAAAGGCACTATGAACTCATACACAAAACAGAAACAGACTTGCAGACTTAGTAAACAATCTATGGTTACCGAGAGAAGGAGATGAGAGGGGATAAATTTGGGAGTTAGAGATTTACAAATGTAAGTCACTATGTATAAACACAGATTTTTAAAAAAATTTTTTTCTTTTGTATAGCACAGGGAACTATGTTCAATGTCCTTTAATGGAAAAAAAAATTGAAAACAAATGTATGTATGTGTATGCATGACTGGGACATTGTGCTATGCACCAGAGACTGACACATTGTAACTGACTGTACTTCAATTAAAAAGAAATGTGGAAGTTAAATAATGGGTACACGTCGTTTCTGAAACTCTTCTCTCTACTACAGAGTATAATTGAATGTTTCTGTAATAAAAAGTTAAAAAAAATAATATAAGTTGGCAGGAAAGTATATATTTAAGAATTTTTTCAACAGGTTTTGGCAATTGCTAAATTACCTGAATATACATACTATTTTTTTCACTGAAATTCCATTATTAAGGAAATAATCAATATATATTTTTTTATCACGGCATGATTTAAGTGCAAAATTTTGAGGAATTAAAATTCCAAAGCATTCATAAAAGTAATTATTTAGTGGGACTTTAGATGTCTGGCATTCTCTCAATGGCTTTATGACATGCTCCTTAAATTTTCATCACAGTCTTTCATAAAGAATTTCATGAACTTTCCAAATTCTGTAGACAAGAAAACTAAGGGATCATGAGGTTGAATGACACAACCAGTGTCACATAGTGTAGACTGTAGATGAGCCAGTGTCTGACAATAAGCAGATCTGGTGTCGGAGATCTATTGCTAAGCTGAAATGCTCTGGTGATAGGGTGGGTTAAATACACAGAGGCAATTCTACCAGATGGAATATTTTGCAATCAAAACCAATGACATGTAAATTTGTAAATGCATCAGTAAAACTGATACATTATATGGGAACGCCTATGAAACAAAATAAAGAAAATTCAGGATATCATATGGAATGGAGAGAATTCTCTCAGCTATAATAAATACAAAGGAAAGAGCTAGAAGAAAATCATATTTTCTTTTTATTCATTGTCTTTGAATGATTCAGCTGACTTTTATTTTCCTAGATTTCCAAATGAATCTCCAAATAGAATGTCAAATGTATTATCTAATTTGTTAAATTATTTTTTAGTTTAAAAATAATTTTTAAATTGAAATATAGTTGATTTGCAATGTGTTAATTTCTGGTGTATAGCATAACGTTTCAGATATATATATATATATTCCTTTTCATATTTTTTTCATTATAGGTTATATTTTTAATTCAAAAAAATTACATGATAATCATTTCCAGAATCCTCAGGTAGTCATGGGATGAAAGTGGGTTAAAGACAAACACAAATCAAAAAATGTTGGAACAACTGAAAAGCCACAAACGAAAGAACACAGTAGGACTCCTACCTCACACCATATACAAAAGTTAACTCAAAATGTATCAAAGACTAAATATAAGAGCTAAAACTATACAGCACTTAGAAGAAATCACAGGCACACATCTTCAGGACTTTGGATTAGACAATAACTTCCTAGATATAATACCAAAAGTACAAGCAATGAAAGAAAAAATAGATAAACTGGACTTCATCAAAATTTGAAACTTTTGTGCTTCCAAAGACACTGTCAAGCAAGTGAAAAGGGGAGAAACTTTTTTGCAAATCTTAGATCTATTATGAGTGATATTCAGAATATCAAAAAAAATTCCCACAACTGAACAATATGGAGAAAAATAACCCAGTTTAGAAATAGTCTAAAAATTTGAGAAGACATTTCACCAAAGAAGATACACACTTGGCCAACAAGTACATGAAACAATGTTCCACATTATTAGTCATTTAAGAAAATGCAAGTCAAAATTACAATTTTGATACAATTGAGGTGCCATTTTGCACAGTCACAGCAGAGCATCTCTTGCAGAAAAGACAGTGACAAGTGTTGGTGAGGATGTAGATAAACTGAAATTCTCATACATAGTTGGTGAGAATGTAAAAGGGAACAGTTACTTTGAATAGAGTTTGGCAGTTCCTCAAAATGTTAAACGTATATGTAATTACTATATGACTCAGCAATTCCACCTCTAGTTTTATACCCAAAGGAACAGAAAACATAAATCCATACAAAAATGTACATGAATGTTAATAGCAGCATTATTCATAGTAGCCAAAGAAAGGGGAAACATCCCAATGTCCATCAACTGATGAATGGATAAACAAAATGTGGTATACACAGACAATGGATGTTATTGAGCTTTAAACTAAAAACATTTTGGTAAAGGAATGTTGAAAATATTACGCTAAGAAACCAGACACAAAAAGGCTACTGACTGTAGCGATTCTATTTTTTAAAAAATATCCAGAATAGGCAACTCCTAGCAACAGAAAGTCGGATGAATGGTTTCCAGGGAGTAGAGTTGGGGGATTGAATGGGGAGCAGCTCTAATGGATGTGAGATTTATTTTGGGGAATGATGAAAAATTCTATTATATAGTGGTGATGGTCCTGCAACTTTGTAAATACGGTAAAAACCCTTGAATTGTGCATTTTAAAGGGGTGAATTTCAGTATGTAAATTACATCTCCATAATTAGAAAAGGAGAGAAACACACACAAACACCACCAACAACAAAACTATATATTGGAATCCTATGACCATATTCCTATACAGAATGAAATTAGGGTCAAAAAAGGGAAAAAGGAACCCGAAGACGCTGGATGGACCTCCAGCTCTGACATTTATTAGCAAGTCACCAAATCAGTGTAGCCTTCAATATTCTCATGTGTTAAATGCAAATATTACTTCTTTCCTTCTAAGTTGGGGAATAAATGTTGTCGTCAATAATTACTAAGACATGTTATTCCACTCTATCACAGTCAGAAACAGAAAGCGGGTCAGTAGACTGTGGTTCTAACCCAGGCATTGATAACAGACAAATGTCCCTAACTCCACCCCAGATAGCTTCAGTGTTTGCATACCCTAAAACACACATGCTAT